ATAGCTAAGGTGATCGTAACTCCCATACTTTAACATGGACCTGCGATTGTCATAGCACTAAGGTGATAGTAACCCCATACTTTAACATGGACCTGCGATTGTCATAGCACTATGATGATAGTAACCCCATACTTTAACATGGACTTACGATTGTCATAGCTAAGGTGATAGTAACCCCCATACTTTAACATGGACCTACGACTGTCATAGCCCTAAGGTGATCGTAACCCCATACTTTAACATGGACTTACGATTGTCATAGCTAAGGTGATCGTAACCCCATACTTTTAACATGGACCAGGGATTGTCATAGCGCTAAGATGATAGTAACTCCCATACTTTAGCATTGACTTACGATTGTCATAGCACTAAGGTGATAGTAACCCCCTTACTTTAACATGGACTTACGATTGTCATAGGGCTAAGGTGATCGTAACTCATACTTTAACATGGACCAGCGATTGTCATAGCGCTAAGATGATCGTAACTCCCATACTTTAACATGGACTTACGATTGTCATAGGGCTAAGATGATAGTAAGTCCCATAAATTAACACAGACCAGCGATTGTCATAGCGCTAAGATGATCGTAAGCCCCATACTTTAACAAGGACTTACGATTGTCATAGCGCTATGATGATAGTAATTCCCATACTTTAACATGGACTTACGATTGTCATAGCACTAAGATGATAGTAACCCCATACTTTAACATGGACCTACGACGATTGTCATAGTGCTAAGATGATCGTAACTCCCATACTTTAACATGGACTTACGATTGTCATAGCACTAAGATGATCGTAAGCCCCATACTTTAACATGGACTTGCGATTGTCATAGTGCTAAGGTGATAGTAACTCCCATACTTTAACATGGACTTACGATTGTCATAGCAGCTATGATGATCGTAACCCCCATACTTTAACATGGACCTCACGTTTGTCATAGCACTAAGGTGATAGTAAGCCCCATACCTTAACATGGACTTACGCGATTGTCATAGCACTAAGGTGATAGTAACTCCCATACTTTAACATGGACCTGCACGATTGTCATAGCGCTAAGGTGATAGTAACTCCCTTACTTTAACATGGACCTGCGATTGTCAAAGCGCTAAGGCGATAGTAAGTCTCATACTTTAACATGGACCTGCGATTGTCATAATGCTAAGGTGATAGTAAGCCCCATACTTTAACATGGACCAGCGATTGTCATAACGCTAAGGCGATTCTAAGCCCCATACCTTAACATGGACCTGCGATTGTCATAGCGCTAAGGCGATAGTAAGCCCCATACTTTAACAGGGACCAGCGATTATCATAGCGCTCAGGTGATAGTAAGCCCCATACCTTAACATGGACCTGCGATTGTCATAGCGCATGTTAAAGTAAGGGGGTTACTATCATAGTCACCTGTGACTGTCATAGAGCTAAGGCTATAGTAAGCCTCGAACTTTAACATGGACCTGTGATTGTCATAGCGCTAAGGTGATAGTAACCTCCATACTTTAACATGGACCTGCGATTGTCATAGTGCTAAGGTGATAGTAACCCCCATACTTTAACATGGACCTGCGATTGTCATAGCGCTAAGGTGATAGTAAGCCCCATAATTTAACATGGACCTGCGATTGTCATAGCCCTAAGGTGATAGTGAGTCCTATACTTTAACATGGACCTGCGATTGTCATAGCGCTAAGGTGATAGTAACCCCCATACTTTAACATGTACCTGCGATTGTCATAGCGCTATGGTGATAGTAACCCCCATACTTTAACATGGACCTGCGATTGTCATAGCGCTAAGGTGATAGTAACCCCCATACTTTAACATGGACCTGCGATTGTCATAGTGCTAAGGTGATAGTAACCCCCATACTTTAACATGGACCTGCGATTGTCATAGTGCTAAGGTGATAGTAACCCCCTTACTTTAACATGGACCTGCGATTGTCGTAGCGCTAAGGTGATAGTTAGTCCTATACTCTAACATGGACCTGCGATTGTCATAGCGCTAAGGTGATAGTAAACCCCCATACTTTAACATGGACCTGCGATTGTCATAGCCCTATGGTGATAGTAACCCCCATACTTTAACATGGACCTGCGATTGTCATAGCGCTAAGGTGATAGTAACCCCCATACTTTAACATGGACCTGCGATTGTCATAGCCCTAAGGTGATAGTAACCCCCATACTTTAACATGGACCTGCGATTGTCATAGCGCTATGGTGATAGTAACCCCCATACTTTAACATGGACCAGGGATTGTCATAACGCTAAGGTGATAGTAACCCCCATACTTTAGCATTGACCTGCGATTGTCATAGCGCTAAGGTGATAGTAAGCCCCATACTTTAACATGGACCTGCAATTGTCATAGCGCTAAGGTGATAGTAAGCCCCATACTTTAACATGGACCTGCGATTGTCATGACGCTAAGGTGATAGTAAGCCCCATACTTTAAAATGGAGCTGCGATTGTCATAGCGCTAAGTTGATAGTAAGCCCTATACTCTAACATGGACCTGCGATTGTCATAGCGCTAAGGCGATAGTAAGCCCATACTTTAACATGGACCTGCGATTGTCATAGCGCTAAGGTGATAGTAACCCCCATACTTTAACATGGACCTGCGATTGTCATAGTGCTAAGGTGATAGTAACCCCCATACTTTAACATGGACCTGCGATTGTCATAGTGCTAAGGTGATAGTAACCCCTTACTTTAACATGGACCTGCGATTGTCGTAGCGCTAAGGTGATAGTTAGTCCTATACTTTAACATGGACCTGCGATTGTCATAGCGCTAAGGTGATAGTAACCCCCATACTTTAACATGGACCTGCGATTGTCATAGCGCTAAGGTGATAGTAAGTCCCATTCTTTAACATGGACCAGCGATTGTCATAGCGCTATGGTGATAGTAAGTCCCATACTTTAACATGGACCAGCGATTGTCAAAGCGCTAAGGTGATAGTAAGCCCCATACTTTAACAGGGACCAGCGATTATCATAGCGCTAAGGTGATAGTAAGCCCCATACTTTAACATGGACCTGCGATTGTCATAGCGCTAAGGCGATAGTAAGCCCCATACTTTAACATGGACCTGCGTTTGTCATACCGCTAAGGTGATAGTAAGCCCCATACCTTAACATGGACCTGCGATTGTCATAGCGCTAAGGCGATTGTAAGCCCCATACCTTAACATGGACCTGCGATTGTCATAGCGCTAAGGCGATAGTAAGCCCCATACTTTAACAGGTACCAGCGATTATCATAGAGCTCAGGTGATAGTAAGCCCTATACCTTAACATGGACTCTGCGATTGTCATGTTAGCTAAAGGCGATAGTAAGCCCCATGCTTTAACATGAACCTGCGTTTGTCATAGCGCTAAGGTGATAGTAACCCCATACCTTAACATGGACCTGTGACTGTCATAGCGCTAAGGCTATAGTAAGCCTCGAACTTTAACATGGACCTGTGATTGTCATAGCGCTAAGGTGATAGTAACCTCCATACTTTAACATGGACCTGCGATTGTCATAGTGCTAAGGTGATAGTAACCCCCATACTTTAACATGGACCTGCGATTGTCATAGCGCTAAGGTGATAGTAAGCCCCATAATTTAACATGGACCTGCGATTGTCATAGCCCTAAGGTGATAGTGAGTCCTATACTTTAACATGGACCTGCGATTGTCATAGCGCTAAGGTGATAGTAACCCCCATACTTTAACATGTACCTGCGATTGTCATAGCGCTATGGTGATAGTAACCCCCATACTTTAACATGGACCTGCGATTGTCATAGCGCTAAGGTGATAGTAACCCCATACTTTAACATGGACCTGCGATTGTCATAGTGCTAAGGTGATAGTAACCCCATACTTTAACATGGACCTGCGATTGTCATAGTGCTAAGGTGATAGTAACCCCTTACTTTAACATGGACCTGCGATTGTCGTAGCGCTAAGGTGATAGTTAGTCCTATACTTTAACATGGACCTGCGATTGTCATAGCGCTAAGGTGATAGTAACCCCCATACTTTAACATGGACCTGCGATTGTCATAGCGCTATGGTGATAGTAACCCCCATACTTTAACATGGACCTGCGATTGTCATAGCGCTAAGGTGATAGTAACCCCCATACTTTAACATGGACCTGCGATTGTCATAGCCCTAAGGTGATAGTAACCCCCATACTTTAACATGGACCTGCGATTGTCATAGCGCTATGGTGATAGTAACCCCCATACTTTAACATGGACCAGGGATTGTCATAACGCTAAGGTGATAGTAACCCCCATACTTTAGCATTGACCTGCGATTGTCATAGCGCTAAGGTGATAGTAAGCCCCGTACTTTAACATGGACCTGCAATTGTCATAGCACTAAGGTGATAGTAAGCCCCATACTTTAACATGGACCTGCGATTGTCATGACGCTAAGGTGATAGTAAGCCCCATACTTTAAAATGGAGCTGCGATTGTCATAGCGCTAAGTTGATAGTAAGCCCTATACTCTAACATGGACCTGCGATTGTCATAGCGCTAAGGCGATAGTAAGCCCATACTTTAACATGGACCTGCGATATCGTGAGTATAATTTGCTTCAGAAGTATTACAGCTGTTCGATGTTGTTTGTAAACAAATTAAATCTGGACCAAATAACCCAGTGATTATCACCATGCGATGCAATAACAGAGCATGTGTTTATGAATTACTATGAAATAGTGATGATACCAGATGTTCACGAAAGGTGGGCGTATCCTGCCCCACCGGTGACACCCGTCATAAACACGTGCTAAGTCTAGTCAGTTGTTCACCTGAAATTATTCTGGAACATATGATAAAAGTCAAAATAGGGAATTGCTGCGGACATCATTTTCGTCACTGATGCATTACGTTTGGAAATTTCTTCCACATGTACACCATACAACTCCTTGAACAAAGGCATCGTTTATCCATGGGGACCATTGATAGCATTTATGCACCTTGCATGTTGAAGACGGTGTTATACGTGTTGCCAACTCCACCATGAACAATCCCTGCAGAGTAAGCTGTCCCTATGGGTCCTTGTATATTTGATGTAACCTGGATATTCTGGGGACTGGGCTGAGGAGGGTTGCGGTTGTTGTTCTGATTACTCATGGTAGTAATGGTCGGTCGTGGTCTGCCGGAACTATCTAGAACAGAAACAAGATGCGTTATGTCATCGTAGTATAGACACCTTAATTAAATCATTACATACCACAATGGGCTTACACTTTGTGCTTTGATTCTGACGTTGCATTTATTCACATTTTCCACTGAAGCACTGCTATTCTCATGTTATATATCTTAAAGAAGTTGTATATCTAGTTTGTCCCTTTAGTATCTGTGATTGCTTACAACCTGCCCCCATATCAAGATATAGCCCTGTGATGATTGATGCAAGTTAACTTGACAATAACATGATCTGTACACAATACAGTATGCTTGCTCATATCCAAACTCTCTACATGTTCTGGACTCCTGTTATACATACATATGAGTTCATTCTCGACATGTAATGAATGCGTATATTCAACAGTTGAAATTACATCGTAATAATATTCTGTACAAACACAAGTGTGTTTTATCTGGACGTGTATCTAAATCACGTGTTAACACTTAAAGTTACATGGATGACCTATAATAATATTCTCCTGTACAAACACAAGTGTGTTTAGTCTGAGGACGTTTATCTCAATCACGTTTTAACACTTACAGTTACATGGATGACCTATAATAATATTCTCCTGTACAAACACAAGTGTGTTTAGTCTGAGGACGTTTATCTCAATCACGTTTTAAAACTTACAGTTACATGGATGACCTATAATAATATTCTCCTGTACAAACACAAGTGTGTTTGCTCTGAGGAGGTTTATCTCAATCACGTGTTAACACTTTCAGTTACATGGATGACCTATGATAATATTCTCCTGTACAAACACAAGTGTGTTTGCTCTGAGGAGGTTTATCTCAATTACGTGTTAACAATGACAGTTACATGGATGACCTATACTAATATTCTCCTGGAGAAACACAAGTGTGTTTAATCTGAGGAGGTTTATCTCAATCACGTGTTAACACTTACAGTTACATGGATGACCTATGATAATATTCTCCTGGAGAAACACAAGTGTGTTTAATCTGAGGAGGTTTATCTCAATCACGTGTTAACACTTACAGTTACATGGATGACCTATAATAATATTTTCATGTACAATCACAAGGGTGTTTAGCCTGGAAGGTTAGCTTAATCTTCTGTTGACACTTACAGTTGCCTCGATGACCTATGAAAATATTCTCTTGTAACTACACGTCTGTGTTTAGTCTAGAGGTTTATCCCAATCACGTGTTAACACTTACAGTAACATGGATGACCTACCTCGGGTATGTCGTACTTGGGGATCTGAAGCCGCTGCTCAGTTGGACACCCACTAGCTTGATTCGAACTAATGTTGTCGCTACCTTAAAAAGTGAAAACGATCCAGAATATGTCTGTGTGGCAGAATATCCAACCCTGAAAAACACCAAAAAAAATTCAAATACAGAAAACAACTGTGCACATCAAGCCAACAACTGTGCAAAGATAACAACTATTGTGTAAATAGAGACAACTATTGTGTAAATAGAGACAACTATTGTGTAAATAGAGGCAACTTCTGAACAAGTATAGACAACTACTGGGTACACATAGCCAACAACTGTGCAAACATAACAACTATTGTGTAAATAGAGACAACTTCTGTACAAATATAGACAACTACTGGGTACAGATAGCCAACTACTGTGCAAAGATAGTCAACTACTCTGCAAATAAAGACAATAACTCTGCAAATATAGACAACTACTCTGCAGATGATAAGAGTTTGCACAAGAAGTTTGATGGTATCCAAGGTCATAAGATTTTCCCAATACTGAGCGTATGAAGAGAGCAGTTCCTGCATACGGAGCTGGCATGCTCTTCCTTGAGTCATGGTAGACTGGAAAATAACTCCAAGATTTCTTTTGGGGTGTCACTGACAGAACATGCTCTAGCAGTAATAGAAGGCTGAGGGTTCATTGTTGCCAGCTGATGTCGAGTGCCCTGTGTTAGAAAGTCGAGTTACAGGTAGTTGGAACTCATCCATGACAGGATATCTGTCAGGAAGGCTTCAACTGTTTTGATGGCATTTCCTACTGCAGCCGGGACAATTGAGAGGTTCGATTGATTGTCGTCAGCATAAAGATAGAAGTGCAGTTCAGTTATTTGTTTCCTGCCCATAGCTTCTAGGATGTCATTGTAGACACGGCCCAAAGCTGTCTCGATGCTGTGGCTGGTGTGGTATGCTGACTGGAAGGATTCCTGAAGATTATGTTCCGCAAGATGAGATTTAAGCCTGGAAGCAACAGTTTTTTCAAGACACTTGAATTGGCGGTTCGAGACTGGTCGATAGCTTTTCAGGATTCGTATTAGATTTGATTTCTTGAGGACTGGTATGACATGAGCGTGTTTGAAGGCAGATGGAACACTGCCTGGGTCCAGAGACGTGTTGATGATGGCAGGTAACACGCCCCAAAGCATCACTAGGCGCTTTCACAAGCCGAGTAGATAATTTATAGTCCAGAGACTTTCACGGAGAATCTTTGACGATCCGACGGCCTCCGGCCACAGAAGCTGGTGTTAAGAGATCCAGTGGCTTACTGTGAAATGTCTGTTCAAATTCATGCAGTGACGTTGTATAAGACTGAATGTTGGCTCTTACTTCTTGATTTTGTCTAGGGGGCGGTGGGGTAGCCTAATGGTTAAAGCGTTGACTCGTCACGCCGTAGACCCGTGTTCGAAACCCCACATGGGCACAATGTGTGAAGCCCATTTCTGGTGTCCCCCGCCTTGATGTTACTTGAATATTGCTAAAAGCGGCGTAAAACCAAACTCAGTCAGTCAGTGATTTTGTCTAGGGTCCATGCAGGTAGCAAAAACAATGTAAGTCCCCATGATCCTAGTATAGCGATCTACTTTCAGTTGTTGGCGATCTATAGCCTGTTTTTATAGTGTTAATAGTAAGAAAGATTTAGAATAATAAACCGGTTTTATATTCATATTTGTGATCTGCTAGTGGTTTTCACTGTCCTTCGTGTTGACAGATCTATATAATTCAACTATGTATTTATCATGTATTTAGAAATTGCTTTAGTCACGATATGGCTGAAATATCGCTGATGTAACGTAAACTCACTCACTCACTCACTCACTCACACTTAATGTTGTCACTGAAGGAAGATGCACACCTGTTGGCAAGTTCAGGCTCATCTGTGAGAGCAGGGGGCTTCTGGTCCTGGGAACATGGAGAAGTTCACCTAGAAGACTGTGCAATTCCTCAAAGTCGTGCTAGTTATGAGTGACAGTGTTTCGGACAAACACTGCCTTTGCTGAAGCTAGCGAGGAATTCAGTTCATTACGACCTTGTTTATACAGCTGCCGATGCACTCCAAATTTGCTTTTCCTCTAGACTTTTTATTACCCTGACATCGTCATTGTACCACTGAGTATTTGGTCTAACAACAAAACTTCTTTTTTTTCTTAGGTCCATGTTTGTCAAGCATGTTGGTAAGACAAGTTTCAAGTCGTTAGACTTTTTCTTCAACATAACCTTCAGTGCAGTAATCAATGTTAGTCGTCATGTCCATAGAGAACTAAGAAACATCAAGGTTCCTGTTTTCCCTATAGGTGACAGATCTAAGATGATGGCCAGGTTTACAGGTGTTGAGCGGACAGTTTATATCGAAGTGATCAGAGATAAACCTGTTAGTTACCATCAATGACTTGGAGGAACGTGTCAAGGTCACGGGATATGATGAGGTCCAGAGTATGAGCACATCTGTGAGTGGGTTCTGATTGTACAAGGAAAGCAACTCTTTGAAGTGCTGTGCTTGGCAGTTGGAATACACATCAACGCGAATTACAAGATGACCTTGATCTGTCATCAAAAACATCAGAGAACTCATTCAGGAAGTCATCGAATGTAACCTTATGATGTCTTGATATTGGAGGGCGATATATACATATCATCCGCCGCACAGTCATTCTTCAGATTGAAAGTTGACTGCATAAAATCGAAGGTTTTTCTAGACTTGATGTCAGTTAGGTTAGATTTGAGACAGCTTTTAAACCGTACTGCAGCACTTCCTCCAGTCCCGACGAGTTTTCTAGCCTGAGAGATGTCATACCCTGCAGGGAGAATTTCAGTTAATACAGACTCATCACGACCTTCGAGACAGGGCGAGGTTAAAAGTTGGTGGGCTTTTTTATTTCCATTGCAGATTTTTCTAGCAATGCGTTTAGGATAACGTTCGCGTTTACCTCCTCTTGATCTAGGCTTAGAACAACGCACACTGGCAATTCCAAGCTGTTTGAGATGTTTCCATAGTGTAGTTGTGGCAAGGTAAGCTATCTCTGGTCACACTAGTCATTCTTTCATAACAATAGACACGTAACTGACTGGTGAATCATCCCCAGATGTATAAGCGTGACAAGATAACCTGTCTCTGCCCACACTAGCCATTGTTTCGCAACAATAGACAATTGCCTGGCTGGTGAGTCATCTCCAGATGTATATCAATCAATCAATCTTTATTCAGAACTGAAGGCCATTGTACAGGTATATACAAAGTTCAAAAGCAGAGTGGATTTCTCTTCGACGTAGCATGATATATAAACAAAGCAAAATTTCCAATAAATATACGATTAGAAATTGACAATAGTTGGATAAATTTATGTTTTGACGGTTGTTTAGGTGTGACAAGATAAGCTGTCAGTGGCCACACTAGCCATTGTTTCACAACAATAGACAAGGCCCTGGCTGGTGAGTCATCCCCAGATGTTCAGGTGTGACAGGTAATCTGTCAGTGGCCCATTCTTTCACAATAATAGATAAGTCCCTGACCGGTAAGTCATCCTCGGATTTATAGGTGTAACAAGGTAAGCTGTCAGTGGCAACCTTAGCCATTGTTTCACAACAACAGACAAGTCCCTGACTGGTGAGCCATCCTCGGATGTATAGGTGTGACAATTTAAGTTATCAGTGGCAACACTAGCCATTGTTTCACAACAATAGACAAGTCCCTCACTGGTGAGTCAACTCCAGGCGTATAGGAGTGACAAGATCACCTGTCTCTGCCCACACTAGCCATTGTTTCACAACAAAAGACAAGTCAATGGCTGGTGAGTCATCCCCAGATATATAGACGTGACAAGGAAAGCTGTCAGTGGCCACACTAGCTATTGTTTCACAATAATAGACAAGTCCCTGGCTGGTGTGTCATCTCCAGATGCATAGGTGTGACAAGGTAAGCTGTCAATGGCCACACTAGCTATTGTTCGCAACAATAGACGATTCCCTGGCTTGTGAGTCATCTCCAGACGTATAGGTGTGACAAGGTAAGCTGTCAATGGCCACACTAGCCATTGTTTCACAACAATAGACAAGTCACTGGCTGGTGAGTTATCTCCAGACGCATAGGTGTGACGAGGTAAGCTGTCAGTTGCCCATTGTTTCACAACAATAGACAAGTCCCTGGCTGGTGAGTTATCTCCAGACGTATAGGTGTGACAAGGTAAGCTGTCAGTGGCTTCCACAGCAAAAATAACTTAGTTTCCATTGTTGCGGAAACCTAATGGATACTGGGTAATGTAGGTTTCTGCTAGATTTCAGTATCCGGAAACAGACAATGCGAGTTTCCGCATAGTTTACAATACTGAAACTAACAAATCTAGGTTTCTACAACTGAAACTGTCTTTATGAGTTTCCATTTAGTTTCAGGTCGCTGAAACATTCATAGCAAAATGACCTAGTTTCCATTGTTGCGGAAACCTATTGGATGCTGGGTAATGTAGGTTTCAGCTAGGTTTCTGTACCCGGAAACTGACAAGTCTGTTGGATTCAGCTTAGATGAAATGGCAAATTTAGCTTTGTGCTGTTCCATTGGGGGACTATATTTATTTACTGTTACACTTGCAAAAAAAATTCTATATACAGAATCCAGCTAGGGTCCATGCAGGGAGCAAAAGCAATAGCCCATTTTGATACTGTACTGTTAAAGTGTTTATGGTTATATGCTAGTGTACATTTGTGATAGACTAGTTATTTTACTGTCCTTCGCAGACAGGTAAGTAAATAGTTTGTTTTTTATATAATTTAAATTTACGAGGTTAGTTTCAGCGACTGGAAACTACCGGAAACTAACAAGTTAGTTTCCAGAAATGGAAATTTACAGGAAAGTATCATTGGTAGTTTTCATTGCATAAAGCAGCTGGAAACCATCATTGGTGGGAACTAGAATGAAACGAACGTAGAGGCAATTACTCCATACATACCAGTATATACAGCATATATCTAGAAACCTACATTAACCTACGCTAAACTGTCTATGTATTCCATGTATATAACTTTCAGTGTAATGATCTCAGTGTTTGTGTACACCAGAATTCAAATAAAAGATACTGTCTCATGAAACAAGATTAATTTCAGGAAAAGTTAAACCATATTGC